CTGGCTAAAGTGCGCGCGCTCAGTAGACGGCAGGTGGCTACGGACAGCTAGGCGAGCAGCAGCGTCACGAGTGGTCCACTGCGAGCGAACTGCACTGTCAGCATCGGCAGCAGGTGCAACAGAGGCGCCGGACGTGAGATCGAACAGTGAAACTCCGTCCCTAGAGTCGCACTGCAGAAAGAGCTGCAGGTCATCGACCCAGACCTCAAAATCGACCGCTCGACCCTGAACATCGAAGGTAAGAACATTAGGCCTAGCCATGACTGCAGTAGCTGCAGTAGCAGCAGTAGCAGCAGGAGCAGCACGGGCAGGGCAGTGCAGCTCAGTAGGGCGGCGCGGCTAGACTGGGCGGCGCGGCTCGGCTGGACGGCGTGGCTCGGCAGGGCGGCGCGGCTCGGCTGGGCGACGCGGCTCGGCTGGGCGGCTCGGGTGCTTACCAGGGGCGGGTGCAAGGCAGGGCCGCAGCTGGCGGTTAGGTCAGGGCCGCGACAGGGCGGCAGCAGGGCAGGGCCGCGACTGGGCGGCGGTAGAGCAGGGCCGCGACGAGCAGCGGTAGAGCAGAGGCCGCGGCGGGCGACGAGTTCAGAGCCGCGACGAGGGGCGGCAGGGTGGGGCCGCGACGGGCGGCTAGGTCAGGCCGCGACCGGCGGCAAGGCAGGGCCGCGGGTGGCGGCAGGGCAGGGCCGCGACGAGGCGGCGAGGTCGGGGCCGCGACGAGGCGGCGAGGTCGGGGCCGCGACGAGGCGGCGACAGGGCAAGGCCGCGACGGGCGGCTAGACAGGGCCGCGACGGGCCGTTAGGGCAGGGCCGCGACGGGCCGAGAAGGCAGGGCCGCGACGGGCGGCACTAGGGCAGGGCGCGCGACGGCGCAGGTGTGGCAGGCGCGAGGCGCGCTTCGGGCAGGGCAGGAAAAATAAAAAATCTAATCGTGGTGGGCCCTAAAAAAAACGTTCCCACGAGGGAACCTGCTGAGAATACCATGTCAGAATTGGGAAGAGAAGAATGAACTAGAAATGAGCAGTACAAGGTTTGTATAGGCAAAACCTAATTTGGGCTGTACCCCATACGGAGTGCCCCACTACAGCCTAGAGCATATATGCATAGTTCTGACACTGATTACTAGTGACTCGGTTTCTGCCGCTGTGTGGCACCCAATTGTGACACGACTCTCCGAGGAGTGTGCAGTGCAGTCGTCATAGGTTGATTGGCCCCTTGGCCCCGTTGCGGACAATCGGCTATTCCATGACCGGGCTCTCGGCAATAGAAGCAACGCCCATCGCCGTCCCTACGCCAGGTCCAATGGCGTTCCCCTTGGCCTCGATTGCGAGGTGCAGGGCTTGGACAGGAGGTGGATGTGGGCCCACGTGGCCTTTTTTTGCTGGCCGCCACAATTTGGGTGGCGGCCTTAACGTTTTTATCTTCCACCACCTCGCCGTACTTAATCTTTAAAGCCATGTTGGCTACTTCAAAACCGCGCTGATCCGCGGTAAATAAAAAATGAATCTTTTCTTCAGCCTTGTCGATGAGTTGCTGAAGGTAATCAACAAGTTGCTCGCCACCGTGAGTGGGTCAAATCGACAAGGCATGACGAGCGATAGCTTGAATGCGTTCAAAGCTAAAAAGTTGAGTACGAATGCCGTCGCTTTTGACGAGTGAGGAGCGTAACTGAGGACGTGCAGGAGGTATGGGGGCAAGACTAAGGGTTGCTGGAATCGCCTTGAGACGAGTGGTATTACCTTCGTCGAGGTTCTCTACGTTGTCGTGGTCGTCGTCATCGTCGCTCTCGGGATTAAGAGGAGGAGGGGGAGCGCGGGGACGGGCTGCTGCTGCTGCGGCAGCTGGACGAACAGGATCAGCAGTTGCTGCGGGATCACCATTGTTGCCGCGCTGAAGCGCCGCGAGAAGGCCGATCACGTGTCCGATTGCGTCGTTATTATTTGCTGCCGCTCCAATATTGTTTCCAGTGTAGCGCGCCGAATTATTCTCGGATGCACGGCGCCCTGTAGATGCGCTGGATCGCGCCATAACGCGTTCGCCGCCAGTTTCAGTGAACATTCGCCTCAGATTCTGCTGGCTGGCGGGGTCAAGGCGAGCAATGATTTCCGCGATTTCTGCAATCCCAGCTGCCGGATTCTGCGGATCTCGCTGCTCGCCCTGATTCGCGCGCCGATTTGCAGAATCCGGGCGGTGATCCTCGCGCGCTGGCTCTCGAATCTGACGCTCGCCACGCGCAGGATCCCGCTCGCGACTTGCACGTGCAGAATCGCGGTCACGATCTGCACGTGCAGAATCTCGCTGATTGCGATCTGCCTGTGCAGGACCGCGATCATTGCGGTCCTGCGCCTGGATTGCAGGACCCTGGCGCGCAGGGGCGTTTTCGCCTGGCTGAGTCGGGTCGATTGTTGCACGTGCAGCTCGTCCCTTGGCTTGAAATCCGGGGGGCCCACGCTCGTTACCGGGTCCTTCGGCGACGACATTAGGTGCGGAAGGAGGAGGCTGTCTCGCGCCATTTAACAGGTCAAGCGCGGTCAATGTTGCGTTTCCGCCATTTTGACGTGGCGATCTTGAGCGATCGCGGGAGGAAGAAGCGCGATCCTCGTCTCTTGGCGGGGAAGCACGCCTGCCGCTGCTGCGCGTAACCATTCGTGGAGCGGGGGGTCGGCCGGTTACTGCGGAAACAAAGCCAGACGCCATGGTAGAAAATCTGACGTTGATCACGTCGTTGATTAAAGTGCTCCTATGCCCAACTCTAGGCATAGGAGGGGTTTAGGGAGTGTGCTTGGTGGTAAGCAAGATTGGAGATCTGAAAATGCAAATGAGACTAGGTGGCAGGTCTGAGGGACATGCCGGAATGAAAAGGAGTTTGTCTCCTTTACAGCAAACTCCTCTTTTAGTCGAATCACAATCTTCAAATTTTTAGAAGTTTAACTTAAAAATTTTTACATTTTGCACCACTCTGCACTCGAGGGAATTATGCTGTAACTGAGAGATGGGCGAGCATGAGTGTAAGAAACAGAAAGCACTGAAAGAAGCGAAAGTAATTAAGAATCAACAAAACAGTGCGACGCATAACACGAGATGAGGTATGAGATGAAGAATAAGATGAGGTGCAGGAAAGGTCACGTGATGTATGGGATAAGGTATGAGAATAGGTGTGGGATGAGGTATGGAATGAGGTGCAGTGCATAGCTGTTCCACCACCATAAATTCTTGCTTGAGTTCAAAACCATGGCTGCTCACAAGCACGAAATTCCAAAGCTGAAGACACTCCGATCTGGAGTGCCAAATACCGACACACCAGCATCTTGGTTCTGCCCATGCCCCAGATATTAGGAAAGGCATGAGTGTTGCTGGGCATGTGTGTTGGCGGCAGGCATGCGAGGGTAAGGCGTTACATGAATCAAAAGGAATTCAGAAACGACGGTCAGTGTACTAGGGAATTGAGCATGATGGTTTGGGGTGTGGGATGAGGTGTGCAATGGAATGGGGTGTGGGATGAGGTGTGAGATGGAATGGGGTGTGGGATGAGGTGTGAGATGGAATGGGGTGTGGGATGAGGTGTGAGATGGAATGGGGTGTGGGATGAGGTGTGAGATGGAATGGGGTGTGGGATGAGGTATGAGATGGAATGGGGTGTGGGATGAGGTGTGAGATGGAATGGGGTGTGGGATGAGGTGTGAGATGGAATGGGGTGTGGGATGAGGTGTGAGATGGAATGGGGTGTGGGATGAGGTGTGAGATGGAATGGGGTGTGGGATGAGGTTTGCGATGGAATGGGGTGTGGGATGAGGTGTGAGATGGAATGGGGTGTGGGATGAGGTGTGAGATGGAATGGGGTGTGGGATGAGGTGTGAGATGGAATGGGGTGTGGGATGAGGTGTGAGATGGAATGGGGTGTGGGATGAGGTGTGAGATGGAATGGGGTGTGGGATGAGGTGTGAGATTAGGTACGGGATGACTTCCTCGATGGTGAGATATGGGATGATGTATGGGATGAGGTGCATGTGCACAGCTGTCCCAATAATACATTTCCCTGCCAGCCTGCTCACAAACAAACTCAAAAAGCTGAAGACCTTTCAAACTGAAATCCTAATTACCGCCACCCCAGCGCCCTTGGTTTTGCCGTTGCCGCAGCCCTCACCTCCCCTGAGTCGCCTACCTCAACGCCACCATTGGGAGGTGGGATTGTGGGAGTGCGTGCCACAGTCCCATGCGGGGTCCCCCACCAAGGAGTGGGGATGGGGAGGGGGAGGGAGAGGAGGGAAACAACTATGTGAACATCACAATACAGGGAGAGGGGCATGGAGTGGGGCGCAGTACCTGATTGCCACTCCTGCTGCCACTGTGACTTCATAAATAGATGAGGCGGGCTCAGTTGGGGCAGGTGGTATGCAAGTGGGTTTTGATAAAAACATGCTACCTACCACAGGTCGTGCAGCATCCACCGCCACTTCTGCAGCAGATGGGGAGGGCTCAGGCGGGGGAGGTGGTATGCAAAAGAGGTTGGTTGGTACCTACCCTAGGTCATGCAGCATCCACTGCCTCTGCAGCAGCCACGGCAGCAGAAGCCACCGTTCTGGACATTGCCCGAAACCATTGCACACTGCACTTTGAGTATTTCCTTCCCAGTCCCGGTTAACACTAAGCAACCTCATTGCAAGCCTATCCCTCTACCTAAGCAGAGGTACACCTCGTTGCATTGGTGGTGAAGCAACTGGTGAAAGCACAACACCTTCATGATGCTCACCTTCATGCTGCTCACCTTCATGCTGCTCACCTTCATGATGCTCACCTTCATGTTCTCCCCCTCCTTTTTCCGCCCATCTGTGGTGATCTGTCTGCCAGTCATCTAAAAAAACGTGGTCAAGCAACCAGAAATTGATGAGGCCGTACACAATAGAAGATAATGAGGGGAAAGGGAAGGGAATGGGAATGGAAGCTGGGTTGAGAGGGACGAGATAGCCTATTGCAGTGATTGCAGCACCTCTTTGCTGCCACCATTAACCATCCGCCAGCGAGGAGGAGAGGTGGGGGAAAGAGGGAGTGGAGGTTGGAGCGAGGGGGAAAGAGAGCAGCACAAGGGGCGTGGAGGAGGTCTTGGGTAGCAATAGGCAGCTGTGGTGCACGTGATGTGGAAGGAATGGAGAGGTGCGGCCTGGTTGAGATGGTGGGGGAGTGGATGGGAGGGTGATGGATGGAAGATGAGGAGGATGCAAGAGGGGGAGGGACACTTGGTGCGTGCATAGGCTGACGTTCGAGATGGGATGGGACATGGCTCCCAAGGAGCAGAGTTCCAGGAGGCTGCTTCTGGACATGGTTACTGTGTTTGGGAAAGAAATCAGGAGGCACGTCATGGCAAAGCAACGCCATGAGTATAAATAGAGATGTTGACTATACATGTGAGCCAGGCCATCTGTAAGCCATTTTGTACATGCACAAACACCAAAATAATACTGTATGAGCAACCTTGCCTACTATGGCATGTTGGAAGCGAGCCACCAGAGCATATTGGTCCTGGAGTTGCCATCATCAAACGCCGTTAGAGCAGCAATGTTCACCCTGGCCCCCTGCAGGTCGTACAATGCCTGCAGCGCCCACGCAAAGCCGCGCCACTCGTCCGTGGCGGCGCCGCTCAGCACGGGTTGCGCCCACTCCACGAGCTGCTTGGCGAACTCGTGGTCGGGGAAGAGGTGGGTGAGGAAGGGCGAGACGGGCAGCACCTGGATGCCCACCCGCTTCTCCATGTCCGCCGGCGGGGCGAACCACAGCGCCGCGTCACGCTTGGTGGACCACAGCACGCCCACCACGCGGTTGCTGTTCGCAAACACAGCCTCATAGCCGGGTGAGAGGGACGGATCCGGAGTAGACGGGGCGAGCGGCACGTGCATGAGGGTCTGCCCAGCGAGGGCCTCCACGGCGGCCAGCGTGGCGCCCAGCGTGGCGAGCGGCTGGTCACCCAGCACGGAGGCCAGCAGCGCCCCCGCCGCGTAGTAAGCGTTGGCCGCCTCGCTGAAGCTCTCCTGGTTGCGCCCGTCGCCGAATTCAAACAGCCCGCTGGCCCACGAGTGCAGCGTGTACGCGTCAAAGTGCCGCAGCCTTGGGAACGCCGCGGTGCGCTGCGGCGACATGTAGTCCGCCATGAGGTCGTTGAGCGGCGCACGGTACTGGTCGCGCCACGCGGGGTCCAACTTGGCAATGGTGGCAGCGGCGTAGATGAAGTAGCCGTAGTGGAAGTGGTGGTCGTTGTACATGCCTGCTCCAAACTCCGCCCCATGGTCGCGCGACCCCGCCTCACTCACCACACCACCCCACGTGTGATCGTACAGCAGGCGGTTACCAGGGAACGTGCCATCCAGCCATGCCGAGAGCGCGGTCCGCAGGGGCGATAGCACGGCGGCCAGGCTGTCATCATCTCGCACCTGCTTCGCGATCAGCGCCAGGCGGGCGGCGCGCACCGCTGCCTTGCCGAAGGAGTAGGTGGAGGTGGAGGAGAGGGGCGGCAGCGCAGCCACGTCCTGCTTCAGGCTGCCCCTCAGCTCGTCCAGCAGCTGTGCGTCGGACGTGAGGGGCCCCGCGCACCACGTGGACGGTCGTTTGGCCACGTTGAGGCGCCACACAGCCCCCTGCATGGCCACCGCGTGGCCGTCGATGGTGGGGTATGCCAGCACTGATGCATCTGGGCCCGACGCAGCTCGCACGGATGACCACAGCGCATTGCCGCGTGCGTGGGAGGGGGTGGCAGCCATGGGGTTGTGGTGGCCGCGGATGGTGCCCATGACACCGGACGGGGAGCCGCTGCGGCGACGGCGGAGGGCGGAGGCAGGGGAGGGGCTGTGCGCGCTCACCTCCATGCGCCGGTGCACTGCTCATGGGGGAGAATGGGGCGCAGGTGGGGAGGAACAGGGGATAGGGGGTTCAGTTTGACGGGCAGACGGCGAGGGTGATAGGTGATTGCCCTCATGACGCCTTGTGACGGCATGGCATTCCAGGTGACATGGCATGGCAGCACACATGGCAACACAGTCACAGCACGCCCCTACTCACTTGGCAGTGAGAGCATGAGAAGCGGCGCCTCGGTGTCGCCATTAGGCGGCTCGCGCCCACGTGCGCGCTCATCCCCACCGGCACCGTGGGCACGTGCGCATCCAGCAGCGCCTCCTCGTCCTGTGGGGAGGAGCCCGGCAGCAGCCCCACGCGCATGGTCCCCGTGAAGGGAGCATCTGCCACTAAGGTCGCCCCGTCCTGCCGCATCGCCAGTGGCGACGACAGATACACCAGCCATGTCTGGTGTAGGGGGGAAGGGGGGAGAAGAGGATTGGGGTGGTGGTGAATCCAGTGAGTGCGGGGCTCAATTGCAGGAAGGTTGACAGCAGACGGAGGGGGGAGATAGAGGGACGACGGGTGAGTGGGATACGGGAATGGCGTTGTTGGGACAGCCTTGCTGCGGTTGGCGCGGAGGGCAGACCTGGCCGTTGTTGAGCGCAACTCGGTACTTGCTGCTGTCGCCGCTTCCCTCCACGCCCGTGATGGCATGGATCGTCGTCAGCACGGGCGTCATGGGGGCCCCGCCCGGGGGGAATATGAACGTGAGGAAGGGCGACCCGCGCACCAGGGGGACCTCGAGCGCGGGGGGATCGGATGGCGCGGAGGAGGGTTGGCGGAAGGAGAGGGTGGCGGAGAGGTCGTCATAGGCGGAGAGCTGGTGGGGGGGGAGGCCCTGCAGCGTGGAGAGCATGAGGGCGGTGACGAACGCCTGCACGATGTACCCGGGTTGCGCGTCGCGCACCGGCAGCCCCCACGCGATGCGCCCCTCCGCGCTCTGCACCACGTACGGCGTCACGAGCTCGGGGTTGCTGCCCTGCCCCAGCACGAAGTTCTGCCACGGCGCGTTCGTCGGATACGGCGCCTGGGGTCGGGGAACCGGGAGGAGTAAAGCAGGATGAAGGGAGAAGAGCGGAGAAACGACGGGGAACGGGAAAGATGAAAAGGAGACGAGACGAGCCGAGCCGCCAACAGGGGAGGGCTGAGGAACTCACGGTAAGGTTGGCGGACCAAATGGCGGAGGGCGCAGGAGCCACAGTGGAGGAAAGCGCGGGGAAGGCCGCCGTCGCCATGGCGGCGGAATTGAGACGCGCACGGAGTGCGGTGGGGATGACAGGGGGAACGAGTTTGGGTGGATTGGCGAGGCGAGGCGACACACAGGGCGGGTGGCTGCTGTGAGGCGTCCGCTGTGACGGTCTGATGCGGTCGGGGGGGTTGAAGGCGCTGGATTGTTGTTGGACGAAGAGTGGCTGATGCAGCACTGGTGGGTCGTGGATTCTGTGATCGCGCGAGACACTAAATACATCACGTCGTCCTGGCTGTGGGATGTCATCACGTCCTGCGATGGCAGGGATGCCATAACGCCGCGACGGACATCCCAAAACATTGTGGCGACTCGACAAAGTAGCCACTTCAAATCTACATACACCATCTATTGCATAGGCAAAGTTGGAGTAACCAATGTATGTACAGGTTTTTTTACAAACCCTGTACTCCCAAGGCAACAAGAGAGTCGCCACATTGCAGGTGCTCGCCTCACACCTCACCTCGCGAGAGTTGTGACAGTGTACATGTACAGTAGGTACTGTAGTGCTCTGTTACATCAAACGCCATGGTCACGCCTATAAACCTTCATTGTACTACTCAAAATGTTGCTCCTAAGTAACTACAATATAGATACTGCATTCTAACGGAGCCCAATAATGTATCCGCAACCATTGTAGGATTAGCTGGGTAAAAGTTACACAAGCAATCAGGTATTCATATGCAGATCCACGTTGTATTCATTTGTTAATATAATAATAAAACGATACAAATACAAAACAGGCCAGGTAAGACTAGCTAAAAACGCTTCATACGTATGGCCATCACCAATAGAGACCCAACTAGGTAAGCGATCCTGGCAGCAACAAGCGTAGAGGCCATCCCTGTAAAACAAGATTCCACACTTTAGGGTTATAAAAAAAACGCAAATACTTACCACTAAGTTCTTCATTCCCACGGGATAAATAAGAATGTTAAAATAATGGCCTCATAGTATACAGAGCAGAGACAAGCGTTACGCCTGCAAAATAGCGACACCCAAGTTGCGTTAGTAATGGGCACAGAACAGACGATATATATATAAAAAGAAAGCGCATTATGCACGGTCAAAGTTTTAGCCTGCAAAATCGTGACAGATACATTCAGCGTTAGTGTTTTGAGAACAAACAGAAACCGGCAACACATACAACCGTTAGTGTTAGGAGAACAGACAACAGAAACTAGAACAATGCTTACTGAAGTAACAACGATGAGGCAACAAGCACGCTCACGCTCATATCAGCACGCCCACATCGCCACGTCCGTATCGCCACACCCATATCGCCTTCCGACATGGCATAAGGTACATGCAAACCGTAGGAAACTGACGGTAACACAACAAGCAGCGCTCAAGATTTCTAAGGTGTAAATACGGTAGGAGCGTGGTCTGGCAGGTAAAACCGAAGAGAGAGGAACTAATGAGAGCTGTTTGGAAGCTAAGAAATGAATCGAGGACAAGAGGGTTTGGTGTTTGATGTACTCAAGTATGTGTGTCTGCCTCGGCCAAAATCTGGGGTTGATGGAATTTAAACCAATCGGAAACAGCGTAGCATTATTCTGCCAACCACTTTCATCTCTCGATCATGGCCTTTGATGGCAGAAATATCAACGGTTCAAAACGTTTTCACTAGCCACTAGAAATCTGCAGTACAGCGTGGGAAGGAATCGACGGTTGAAGATCCAACCTTATTTGGATCGACGGTTGTAATTCCAACCTTTGTGAACTCCTTTGAGATTAGTCAGCTGAGATTTTGACCATCAATCAATTACAGATCGACGGTGTCGAATCATTGTCCAACCAAAGGCACAACTAATCTTTGTCAGAAATAGCAGGTAGAAAGATAGAACAGGAAAGAGGACTTCACTAGTAAGCAGGGCAGTACATATAGCAAACCCTAATTTGGGTTGTACTCACTATAGAGTACCCCATGCAGACTAGACAATTATAACATTCTGACACACCCCCATAGGCAAAGTGGGGTATAGTCAGCACAATGAGCAGTCACAGAATAAGTGCACAAGCACAAGCAAAGCTGGAGGCAATCACAGAGGGCACGTGAGGAGGAGGAGGGAATGTGAGAGGAGAGGAGATGGGAGGCGACGACGGAAGCTGCAGACACATGGTAGCGGCTGGCTCAGTGGCTAGCGAAGCAAAGGCCCGGACTACAGGAGCTGGCTCCGCGGCTACGCCGAGCGGCTGGAGCAACTGACCCACGGGCGACTGGCGACTACCGGAGATTGTAGCCTCCGGACTACTGGCGCTGCTGGCGACACGACGGCTGCCTCCACGCAACCTCCTCCAACTGTCCCACACCCCTTTCACATACCCCCTGCTGCACCCCTAGGTCCACTCCCACGGCACCCCCCTAGCGCCACGCCCTCGGCCCCCACACATCCACCCCCCTCAGCGGCAGCTGCAGTAGTGGGAGACGGAGGAGTAGGAGGAGCGGACGGCGCACACACCCGCCACCCCCATACCCGCCCTAACTCCTGCCACCCCCAGACCCTCCACACGGCTGCACGCCAGCACGAAGTCGAAGGAGGAGGAGGGGGGGGGGGGGGGGGGGGGGGGGGGGGGAGGGCAGGCGGCGGCGAGGAGGGGCGGCGCGCGGATCCCCCGGGGCGCCACGACGGGCGACGGGAGGGGCGGACGCGCTGGCCCCCGGGGCGCCACGACGGGCGACGGGAGGGGGCCGCGCGCGGGCCCCTAGGGCGCCGCGACGGGCGACGGGAGGGGGGCCGCGCGCGGGCCCCCAGGGCGCCGCGACAGGGCGACGGGAGGGGGTGGCGCGCGGGCCCCCGAGGGCGCCACGACGGGCGACGGGAGGGGGTGGCGCGCGGGCCCCCGGGGCGCCGCGACGGAGCGGAAAACCGCCACGCGCCCCGAGCGCGCGGCAGGCAGAAAACCGCCACGCGCCCCGAGCGCGTGGCGGGAAGAAAAAATCATCGCGCGCCACGGGGCGCGCGACAGACAGTAGAGTATTGGTAGCGGAAGCAAATGGTGGGCCCACAGGCCAGGAGCGTAACCGCTCTGATAGCATGTCAGAAATAGCAGGTAGAAAGATAGAACATGAAAGAGGACTTCACTAGTAAGCAGGGCAGTACACATAGCAAACCCTAATTTGGGTTGTACTCACTATAGAGTACCCCACTGCAGACTAGACAATTATAACATTCTGACAATCTTAACCGTTAAAGACTTCTCTGATCGACGGCTAACATTCCAACCTGCAGAAACTTTCACAGTTTTCAACAAAGCGCTCAGATTCGATCTGAACCGTCAATTGTTGAAATCGACGGTTTTCGATTTTTTTGTGCTGAAGTTGCGCCGAAGTCCGAGTCAGCTGCTGTCTTGGTGCGAGTGGTACGTTTTCGCATCTATTTGTTACGCATTGTGTTATTCTGGGAGCTTCAGAAACGGGCTTCTAGTCCAACAGTGATTCTATTCGTTCTTTATTATACTGAATATTCGGACCAAGTTCCATCGAAGTACAGGCCTCGTAGGATCATTGTAGGTCTGGTACCCTAACTACAATGTACGGGTAGAACGTTCTGGATTGGCTCCGTCAGCAGAGCACGCACACAGTAGCCAGTACCAAATCGAGACATTCTTCCTAGTTCACATTTGCTAGGTTCTGCAAGCATGGTCCGTTCAAGGTACCCCGAATAGCATGTATTTTCATTGCAGGGACTGTACACACACCATGGACGAGGGCACGAAGTCCCTACTGCATGGTTCGCAACACCCAACCCCTCCAAAACATTTTTGGGATGGACCGTGGGGCCCGCGACACGCGAATCAGTCTGGCACGCGTGATTTGAGTCCGCCACACTGCTACCACACAGCCGCGGGCTCTCACGTCAGTCGAACCCCTCGCTCGAATTCAATGGTCATTGACATCTCCACAATAATGCGGCAATGCGCAGCCATGGCTGGTTGAAGCCACCTGCGGTGGTCCAACTCTGCGCCATCTATTGCTCTCCACCACCACACCACGCGTGTAGTGCAAGGTTGGGATGGCACAAGAGCAGCACAGCTCGCCTCGCGTGTTACCCTCTTTCAGCAAGGCAATGTTGCGACTAGCGCAATGCGTGCGCGATGATCCAACAGAACGTTGACGACAGCTGGGAAAACAGGCTGAGACGTCGCTAGTCTCGCAAGTACCCTGTTCTTCGAGGTTCAGCGAACTTGCAGGTGAAGTCGAGATGGTCTGCGAAGCTGGGCATTCGCGCTTGTCGTTCTTTGAAGGGTTTTCAGAATCGAGGGAGTGTTTCTGGGACTCTGGAACAGCACACGATCCTCCTCCCGCCCACGATTTCTCTCAGAGAACCCGTTACGTTTTGCTAATGCTGCAATTTGTGTTTTCACCTTAGTGGCCAGATTCTCGACTTAGATTCCAACCCGTCTCCTCAACCAGCAGAGTCAACAAAACTACAGTATGTGCTTATTACGCGAACACCAGGTAGCCTGATGCGTCAGGGTAACCGATCTAAAAAAAAAACCCATGAACATCTGTGTTAAGACGTGGTGCATATCAGGTCGGGTCGGATTGGATTGGGTGTTGCCCCAATCTGAGGCAATCTATAGATCGCACCCTGTGCCGCGCAATCAGGGCAAATTTTATCAGTGTAAATCACCCTGATACCCTGATTATCAGGGTGGTTTTTGGTAGTCACACTGATGGCCTAGGGTAATTTTTCCGGGAGCTAGAATTTTCCTGATATGCCAGGGTTTACATTTAAGGCACACTGATGACTTAGGGTTACCGATTTCATAACGAGTTGTACTCTGAAGCGAGTATAAAAACTTTCCATCCGCAGTAACAGTTCGCCAGGGTTCTGGGTTTTGGGTGGCAAATGTGCACCGTCGCTTTAACCCCGTCCCCCCCCAATTCGGCTTCGCACTACTGTCCCGCTAAATAACAAGTATAGAAACATAAGCAATTGGAATGTGCATGTGGGAGTGTTGCAGTCGGTAGATTGGGTTCCGGAAGGATGAAGACTCAGGATCGAGTCTTGTAGCTCGCGTTTTTGTTCAGAACTTCCGTAGAAACACTTCATCAGGGTATTGAAAATTGTTACACTGTGGCATAAGGGTATTTTCTTTGTAACTATGGAAAACCCTGATGGAAAAGAATTTTCCCAAGGGGTCACACTGATAATCAGGTTTTTGCAAAGGTGCAGGACTGATGATAAGGGTTGCTTAAAACCAAAAATTAGCCCTGCGCGCGATCTGACAATCTGTCAGAATTAGCAGCGCGGGTTCCAGGCTAGGGACACGTCCCTCCCACACAAAGTTGGCGAGACCCCGCGAAGTTTGGTGTCGCGCAATTACAACGTAGCCCCATTTTGTCACTCGATTGCGCGATGCCTCAGTTATGATGTGGCGATATCCAATGCTGCTACGAGCAAATGCGAAACCTTGGCAAAGTGGGTTACTGATCCCGAGTGTCCGTCAGGCGCCGCTATGTGAGGCAATCTATCGATCGCATCGATCGATCACAATTGATCTGGTTCTCGATCGCAATTGAGAGATTGCCCCCGATCGCCTCAAAATGCCCCTTGGGCTTTTCGGAAATGGTGAATTGCGTCAGGTCGAGGCAATCGGCATCAGATCGCCCCGATCTGTACCACGTCCTCACCCCTAACCTGATTTTCAGTGTAACACGCTCGCATCAGGCCTCATCAGGCCTAAGGTGTGGAAACACCGAACTTGCCTTGATCCTGTACAACTTTACACAAAATTGCCATATAAAGCAACCCATGTACCAGTAGTTTTTTTTTCCCGTCGTTTAGACAAATGCAACTTTTTTTAACAATTTTATTTAGACCCTACGGTGGTAAAAATATCCTGTCCGGGGGATTACTACGGTAATAGGTTTTTCCCAGAGAGGTCAGTCAGCCGTAGAGGAGGTAGAAGAAGACGAAGAGGTAGACGGCCATGGTGAAGACGGCTGATATGTGCTGGAAGAAGAGCACCGCTGATACCTCCTGCTCTCCAAACCCCCTCAGACTGCACGCTGTGCCTGCATGCCAAGACACACGGAAAAATGTGTTCAAATGTTAGCTACATGTAAATGCTGCACAGGGACACAACCATGGCATGAGCACCCATGGGTCAGCATGCCTGAGTGCATGTGGCCTCAGCACAACCTGGCACAGCATGTGGACGATGGCATGGCATGCTGCAGCAGCACACCAGTTACATGAGCACCACTAGGTCAGCCTGCATGGCTTCATGCACCCTTGGCACACCCTGGCACCCCCATTCTCTTCGCACCTATTTGGATGGATGAGGGCATGGCGTGCTGCAGCAGCAGCACGAAGCGGAACATCTTGTCGCCGGGTGGCAGCAGCCCCAGGCGGTCGGCAGACAGCACAATGGCGATGCCCAGCAGCGGCACCACCAGCAGCCGCGTCACCACCACCGCTAGTGTCGTGCGTATCGGCAGTGCGGACGCCCCGGGACCTGTGAGCAGGGTGAGGGTGGAAGGGGCATGCATCAGGCGCCAACCGCAGTGGCACTGGCGCTGCTGGGCAAGCCAATTTCAGCAAGGATTATTGGGCAGGACGATGAAAGTAGTTTTCAACTGCATTCTAACCCGACGATGAATCGTCCACTAGAAATCCCGCACCCCTGCGAATTGAAATGCAACTCGACACAGCGACTCAGCACCGCACTGCTGCACTCCTGCACGACGGCACTGACCCTTTACGAGGTTGGCGCCGAGAACAAGCAGAATGCAGGGAATCATGGCCTGGCTGTAGGCGAGGCGAGACATGCACACACACGGCAGAGGAGATGAAAGGAGAGGACATAATCAAATTGCAGGCGTTGGCCCACGATGGAGGAGGGGGCATGCGATGGAGGAGGGGGCATGCGATGGAGGAGGGGGCATTCGATGGAGGAGGGGGCATTCGATGGAGGAGGGGGCATGCGATGGAGGAGGGGGCATTCGATGGAGGAGGGGGCATGCGATGGAGGAGGGGGCATGCGATGGAGGAGGGGGCATTCGATGGAGGCATTGTGAGAAGCAACATTGACGCGTGCAGGAGAGTGATTCAGTGTGCAGCATAATCGTTCGGCATGCCTGTCTCACTCTGCGAACACCACTGCAAATCAAATCTCTGTGACCTCTCAGCGACAGAGGAAGCACGGCAGCAGCACTCACCCCAGCACGGCAGCAGCACCTGTACCGAAACTAGTTTATGCAAACTCTGATTCTGATTCTGATTTAACGGAAGTAACAAACTGGCTATCAACACAGAGGCACTTTCTTAACAAGGCTACCTCTCTCCATCATTGTCACGGGTTCGTTTCGTTGGTTCAAGCGCACATAACTACCTAAGTTGATGGAAGTAAGGCCTTTGCAACCCACGTGACTATTGTTGACAAGTCCAGCAGCACTCACCCCAGCACAGCAAGGGCGTCAGTGAGGAAGCGCAGAGCGCCGTCGCGGTGGAAGAAGAGGAAGTCCAGCTGCGGCACCATGCCCAGTAGCATTGCCAGACACTGCCCAGGACACGTAGGGGATGGGGGTAAAGATGTGGGAGATTGGAGAAGGTGAAACGCAAGGGCTTCAAGCTGCAGCACCATGCCCAGCAGCATTGCCAGACACTGCCCAGGCAAGGCGGAGGGGTGGGGGGATGAAAATTGGGGGCGATGGGAGAAGATCGGGGTAATGGGTGAGACGGAGGAAATAGGTGGAAGGCGATACGCAAGGCACCATTGAGGTGGATGGGAAGGAGCTTTGCACCAGCAGTGGTGAAGGACAGTGCGTGGTTGGGAGGGACTTGACAACAACTGAACCCGGTCCTCCTTGTGGAGTTGCACCACTTCAAGAACACGATGTTGCAGAGGCAGAAACATAGTGGACAAGTAGGAGATGGGGCTAAGGCAGCAAGGGCGTAAGGCAGCATGGGAGGGCAGCATGGGAGGGCAGCATGGGAGGGCAGCATAGGGAGGGCAGCATGGGAGGGCAGCATGGGAGGGCAGCATGGGAGGGCAGCATGGGAGGGCAGCATGGGAGGGCAGCATGGGCCGGGCCACCAGGCAGCCCCAAGCAACCCGGCCCAGGCAGCTATGACAGGGAGGGACGTACCGCAGCGAGGACGGGCGGGCGGAAGACATCGTAAATGTGGAGCGCCTTGAGCACCTCTCCCACCTGCCATGCTTGCACTCATGCACACACTCATGCACACACGCATGCACACAGGCATGCGGGCACGCACGCAGGCACACAGGCAGGGAAGCACGCACACACACACGCACGCAGGAAGGGGAGCACGCACACACACACGCACGCGCATATACACCCACGCATGCACGCACGCACGCACACACACACACACACACACACACACATGCACAAGGACGCACACACACACGTGCGCACTCGTCGCTAGCGCGTGCGCACACACACAAACACACACACACACACGCATGCATGGGTGCACAAACACGCAGGAGAGGGAGCACAGGGAAAGGACTATGTTGAAGACTTGCGACCACCTCGGATGCGGGAGCAAGGGGAATGAGGAGGGGCGAGTGACAAGTGCATGTGTAAGGGCGAAACCCGTACTGTGCGGCTCAGCAGCCCACACTTTGCCGATGTACTTGCACCTGCCTCACACTGCCTGCTGCATCAGCTCCTGAGAGCTTCCCGTGTTGGAAGCTAAGACCTCCTGGCGCTCCCTGGACGCTAGACGCTTAGCCAACAGGTTTTTGGGCAGCGTCGAGCGTATATACGCTCGCGTCTAAACGCTAGCGCATGGAACGCCGGACGCGTCCATGTCCACTTAGGTTGGAAGCTCACCGTGTCTGGCATGCACGCACGCATGCATCACACGGCTCACCGTGTTGGGGGCGCGCACGAGCAGCGCCACCGATGCTTTCCGCAGCGAGCGGGACGCCGTGCGAGCCACGCTGCTGCCGAGGCTGCCGCCGCCGAACACACGCCCCCCTCGCACCGACCCCTCGTTGCGCTGCTGCTGCTGCCCCGCCTCCATGCCCCCCGCACTGCCCAGCCGCGGCACCACTGACCCCTCTGCCACTGCTGCTGCTGGTAGAGCACCTTTCAGCAGCGGCGCATGCAGCCCTGCAGTGCCAGCCGCGCTCCCATCAGCAGCACCAGCATGGTGCGCACGCCTGCCCTCCCCAGGCGCCAGTGGGCGCGACGACACGGGCTCCACCCCCACGCCCAGCGCCGCCTCCCACCCACCCGGCACCTCCCACCCCCCATCCCCCACCTCCCCGTCCGCGTGAGAGTCCCCATCGCCCTCGTCACTGTCAGTGCCCTCGTCCTCCTCCTGGTACGGCACCATGGGCGCGTCCACGTACTTGTGGTCGATGCCAAAGTGGTCCAGGGGCCGCACGTAACCTGGTAACCACTCCTCGGGGGGCGCCAGGATGTTGTAGACCGTGCTCCACATCACTATGGCCGCCATCTGTACGGGAGATGGGAGGGGGAGGGTGGGAGAGGGTGGGAGAGGGATGGGGTCACGGTGGGGATGGAGGGGCAGGAAGTTGTAGACCGTGCTCCACATCACTATCGCCGCCATCTGGGGGCAGAGGGGAGCAAAGTAAGAGCAGGGGTGGTCATGGCGGGCAGGAGGGCAGGAGAGTGCTCACTTCATAATTACCCCCATCTGTGGGCAGATGCGGCGAGGGGAGCATAGGGGGGTCAAGGGGGTTGGAAAAGGAGGGAAGACAAGTTGGGGGACGATGGGGGGAAGATGAGGGAAAAGATAGGGTTAATGCAGGCTTGATCCATGGTAGAAGGAAGGGGGGAGAGCAAGAGGTATGGAAGGAGAAGGAGACGAAGGGAGGTGGGAGGAGAAAGAGAGGATGTGCGAGGGGACGAGGGGGAGATGGGGTGAGTGAGTACGGCAAGGCAGCGGGGAGAAATGCATCCAACCACACATGCACGCAACCACGGGCACGCACACACGCACCCCCATACCCCCATACCCCCATGCACACATGCCCCCAAGCACGCACCCACATGCCGAGGGAGATGTAGGCGGTGCCGAGCTTGTTGCACTCGTTGTGGCCTCCGAAGGGGTTGCGCGCATCGGAGCACACCGCCGACAGCAGCACCAACGGCATGTTGCCCATGTTGCCTGGGGGAGGAGGAAGAGGGGGTGGGGGAGGAGGTGGGGTGGGGCATGGGGGCAGGTCGGAAGGGGTTGCGCGCATTGGAGCGTCAGAGAGCCTATCCAAGGGTTCCTCCCGTCCGGTACTTCACCTGTCCCATATCCCCCCTCAGGAAAATAGTCATTCAGCCCAATTTCCCCCGCGTTCCACTTCCGCTCCCATATGTCCCAATGTGCCTTGTGCTTGGAGATCATGTGCCCCTCTCCAGTTGAGTTCGTGCCACCCGCAAAGCTGATCCACTTGCTGCACTTGCGGCACCGGCGCTTCAAGTCCGGTCTGTCCGGCACGGGCCGCTCAAAACAGCGAGGAACCTTCCCCTTCACAGCCTGAGTGGGGGTTGCTGTGGGTGTGGGGGCCTGGGTGGCAACCGATGGATTTGAAGGGCCAGGCATTGACTGGCTGCCCAATCCGCTCCCCCCACCTACCCTAAACCCACTACCTCCACTACCTCGACCCCTGCCCCCTTTCCCTTTCCCCTTCCGCCCCCCACCACCACCTTTAGGCCCGCCACGTTGCTTCTTTCCGGCCCCCCCATCACCACGACTCCTCTTCCTCCCACCGACACCTCCACCGTCTCCAAGCTCATCTCCCTCCTCCTCCACCAAATCATCCATCTCATCGTCAACGGTTCGCCTTTCTGTTCGCATTCGAGCACGCTCCTCATCCGTGGGGGCGTACATCTCCTCTTCAGAGTTGTCACCGTCCTCCTCCGACTCATTCTCGGACTCTTCTTTTTCATCGCCACCCTCGTCCGACCCTTCATTGTCTTCCACCTCCCTCTCCTCATCACCCGCACCATCATCGGCCATGCCGTTGTCACCAAGGCCCTCGGAAGTCCCTAACTCGCCGTCATCATCATGGCCTATAACACCGTGCAAACCCCAACCCTTCTCCCTCTCCACATCCCCCCCAACCTCGCCACAACCACCAACCGGAGTGGTCTCTTCCCCCTCAGCCCCCCCTTCAACGCCGCCCCCCCCCCTACAACCACTACCACGTGGAGGAGGAACCATGCCCGTCCCCTTCTCTCCCACGCCGTGGTTTTCCTGTTTCCCGCCTGAACCATTGTTGTCCTCAGCCGCTTTTTGCAAGTGCGTCGCCTCTGCAGCCGCAGCAATAGCACGAAGCCTGCGACGCCCAGTAGCCGTCTCCACCTGGTCCTCCTCCTCCACCCCTCCCGCATGATCGCCACGGTGGGTTCCTCCCGCCCCCCCTTTTCCGCCCTTGGGGATCTTACTTACACCCTGCTTGAACTTCGCCATGCTAAATCAGTAGGGCGACGGTTAAATTATTAAATAGTAGCGGTTCCTGCTCCTCAAACCCTAATCGAAATTAACCATACAAAAAAATCGCGAACCTAACTAAGCTAGAACTTAGATCTACGTTGCCCCTAGGGCGATCGTAAGATTAAGAAGAAAAAACAGATGGGCGTGTCGCTGGTTTGGCTCTGGAAACTACGGACGACATGTTGGGGAAGGTCAGTGACAGAAATCGAGATCTGAAAATGGACCCGCCAATTTTCAAATTTTAAAATTTGTAGGAAACCCCAATGACGCGACGGGTTTTTCGTAAACTCGTCGAGTCCAGAAAACTCGACGAGTGTGGAAAAAACTCGCCATGGGGCCCGAGCCTAGACCGAGTTTTTTTAAAACTCGGCGGGTAAAACTCGACTCGGCCCGTTCGAGCTTTTTCACCAAATAATCACACTCGACACTCGACCAGTATCGAGTCCCCCGACCGAGTCGAGCTTGGAAACTCGACTCTTTGCCCATGTCTAGGGGGGAGGGGGGAGGGGAGCAGAGAAGGGAGCGAGAGTCGGGCGAGTCACATGTTGCCCATTGACTGGGAGGGGGGGGGGCATGGGGAGGAGGAGCATGGGGGCAGGGCGGACGGGAAGGCAAATGGGAGGGAGGAAACGGGTGCACATGGGGGGGAGGAAGTGGGTGCGCGTGGGAGGGAGGAAGCGGGTGCAATGGGAGGGGGACATGGGCGGCTTGAGTTGAGACGCCTGACAGGGCAAATGGGTGAACCAGTCAATCATGTGTGTGAGGGCGCATGGGGGAAAGCGAGGGGAGGGAGCGGGGAGCAGATAAGGGAGCAAGAAGACACATGCAGGTGAAGCGAAGAGGCACAAGTTGGGGGGCGGAGTGAGGGGCAGAAGCTGACCAATGCCTGTGAGGACGAAGACGAGGCGGAAGAACTCGGGTGGGCAGTCAGTGAGCCACGCGACGAGCATGCCGAGCAGGCAGCCCAGCACTGACGCCAGCACCACGTTCACTGGGATGAACCACCTGGTGAGGCGGGGGGTGGTGGGTTCAGGGGGACGGGGGAGGGTGACGGGGGGGACGTGGCGGGAGGGAGGGGGAGGGAAGGGGGTGGAAGGGGGCCGGTGACGGGGAAAGGAACATGATTGTCAAGCGTTGCGGTGTGTGCGTGTGAAGCACGTGATGTGTGGTGGACTTCACAACTGCAACCTCGTATGGCACTATGAGCATGCACGGATGATAATGGAGGGCAACGAGCATGTGACGACTTGAGGAGGCGCGGGGAGTGGGGAAGCGGGGATACAGGGATGCAGGGATGTGGGAATCTGGATTGCAAGGTAGCAAAGAAAGATAGCAACACGAGATAAATGTTGAGCAACGAACCAGCTGTAGAATCTGGTGGTTACCATTTGAGGAGGTTACCATTTGAGGAGGTTACCATTTGAGGAGGTTACTTTGAGGAGGTTACCATTTGAGGAGGTTACCATTTGAGGAGGTTACTTTGAGGAGGTTACCATTTGAGGAGGTTACCATTTGAGGAGGTTACCATTTGAGGAGGTTACTTTGAGGAGGTTACCATTTGAGGAGGTTACCATTTGAGGAGGTTACCATTTGAGGAGGTTACTTTGAGGAGGTTACCATTTGAGGAGGTTACCATTTGAGGAGGTTACTTTGAGGAGGTTACCATTTGAGGAGGTTACCATTTGAGGAGGTTACCATTAGAGGAGGTTACTTTGAGGAGGTTACCATTTGAGGAGGTTACCATTTGAGGAGGTTACCATTTGAGGAGGTTACCATTTGAGGAGGTTACTTTGAGGAGGTTACCATTTGAGGAGGTTACCATTTGAGGAGGTTACCATTTGAGGAGGTTACTTTGAGGAGGTTACCATTTGAGGAGGTTACCATTTGAGGAGGTTACCATTTGAGGAGGTTACTTTGAGGAGGTTACCATTTGAGGAGGTTACCATTTGAGGAGGTTACCATTAGAGGAGGTTACTTTGAGGAGGTTACCATTTGAGGAGGTTACCATTTGAGGAGGTTACCATTTGAGGAGGTTACCATTTGAGGAGGTTACTTTGAGGAGGTTACCATTTGAGGAGGTTACCATTTGAGGAGGTTACCATTTGAGGAGGTTTTCAAAGGAGATGGCTTCGCCCAGGTTGACGAAGATGATGGCCGGCAGGAACACCGTGAACACCAGCTGGGGGGGTGGGGGGAGGCAGCATCAAGGGCCGGGGGGTGGGGGGATGGTTCAAGAATGGCCGATATGAATAGACAGCACGAAAGGTGGCATGAACAGGCGGCACAAATGGGGATAGAGGAGCGTGGCGAGGCGGTTGCAGCAGGCCAGGAAGCGCAAGCATGCTTGCTTCAGGCATTACAGGATCAAGCGTGGGTGTATTTCCGGTTCACATCACCACACACATCCACACCCCATCACCCCCCACTCCACACCCTTCTCCTTTCGCTCCACATCCCTTCCCTTCTCCCTCCGCTCCACATCCCTTCCCCCTCCGCTCCACATCCCTTCCCCCTCCGCTCCACATCCCTTCCCCCTCCGCTCCACATCCTTTCTTCCCCCACTACTTCCTCTTATCGTCTCCCTAATACCGCCTCCCTTGCTCGCCCCCACTCCCCCACCTTCGCTTCCCTGCATTACAGTTGTCTCCCTCGTCCGTCCCTCATCCTCCCTCGCCCTCTTTATCACCATGCCCTCTCACGCTCCCCTCTTTTCCTCAACCCCTCTCCTCATCTTTCTGTCCCCTTTCCAGCTTTCTCGGCCTCCCAGCGCCCTACCCCCCCCACCTCACCCAAACGCCCTGTCCCCAGCGCCCTACCCCCCCCACCTCACCCAAACGCCCTATCCCCAGCGCCCTACCCCCCCCACCTCACCCAAACTCCCTATCCCCAGCGCCCTACCCCCCCCACCTCACCCAAACGCCCTATCCCCAGCGCCCTACCCACCCCACCTCACCCAAACGCCCTATCCCCAGCGCCCTACCCCCCCCACCTCACCCAAACTCCCTATCCCCAGCGCCCTACCCCCCCCACCTCACCCAAACGCCCTATCCCCAGCGCCCTACCCCCCCCACCTCACCCAAACGCCCTATCCCCAGCGCCCTACCCCCCCCACCTCACCCAAACTCCCTATCCCCAGCGCCCTACCCCCCCCACCTCACCCAAACGCCCTATCCCCAGCGCCCTACCCCCCCCCACCCCACCTCACCCAAACTCCCTATCCCCAGCGCCCTACCCCCCCCACCTCACCCAAACTCCCTATCCCCAGCGCCCTACCCCCCCCACCTCACCCAAACGCCCTATCCCCAGCGCCCTACCCCCCCCACCTCACCCAAACGCCCTGTCCCCAACGTTCCAGCCCAAACGCCGCGTCCCCAGCGCCCTACTCCTGCCGCGCGCCTTCCTTTGCTTCTGCGCTAGGTGCGGCGAGCACGGGGGCCGCCGGCGGCGACAGCAACCACTGTAGCTGTAATGCCCTGCCCCAGCGCACGGGCATACCTGGCTGAGGCGCTTGCGCACGTTGCGGCGCACCTTACTGAGGCTCTTGCGCGCGTCGCACCTTACTGAGGCTCTTGCGCGCGTCGCACTTTACTGAGGCTCTTGCGCGCGTCGCACCTTACTGAGGCTCTTGCGCGCGTCGCACTTTACTGAGGCTCTTGCGCGCGTCGCACCTTACTGAGGCTCTTGCGCGCGTCGCACCTTACTAAGGCTCTTGCGCGCGTCGCACCTTGCTGAGGCTCTTGCGCGCGTCGGCGTGCAGGACGTCGAAGTAGGGCAGCGCGAAGATGAGCCCCGTGGCGGCGATGAGCAGCACCTTCACCACCGGCAGCACCGAGCTCATCACCAGGAAACTCAGCGGCAGCGCCGCCGCCTGCAGCGTCTGATGCATCTCGCTCCCCGCCATCGCCGCCATCATCGCGAAAACAAGTATCTAATGAAATACTACAGCAACAGGAGACGGCGAGCGTGGTGATGCCGGGTGGGTGGTGGTGCAGGTCGGTCGGACGAAGTGTATATCAAACTACTCGGGATTGCGCGTGCTGTGTGCGCCGAACTCCCGCGGCGAGACCCAGCTGCGCACGCGCGAGCCGCCGGGCGCGCTATTCGGCCGCCCTGGAGGGCGTTAGCGGATGCGCGACGCAGTCGTGGCGGGCACGCGGCGGACAGCGACGGCGAGGAGTGGGAATGCGATGTCGAAGGAATGCTTCAGTACAACGCAACGAAATAGACCGCACAGACGAAATAACTAAGTACGCGCTGGACACTCGGAGAAGAGCTTCTTCTTGTGGTGACGGTCGGAATGGAAGCCGTGCGACGCCTGGATCGCATCGCGGCGTGGCGTGGGGTATGTTACTACAGACTTTACTGCTGCCCAGGCAAGTTCTGGTGAGGTTTTCAGGGAAGCGCAACAACCTCGGTGGTGTGAACTGTAAACTGACGAGCCTCTCATTTGTAACCAATTGTGACTCAGAACAAAACCGCTTTTTGAAGCTGACGAATGGCGCCCAATCGAGGTGGCGTGCTGGTACTTGCGCAATGAAACGAGGAAATCGAGGATTGAGTGAAGCCATTCTCGAACACTACATTGCAAAAAAAAACTTAACACTACAGAAGGATTTAGCAATCAAGAAGTTGTTCAGCCTTTTGGCCTAAGTATCCTGGGGAATAGCGAGGTTGATTAATGTTACGGATAGTGAATCGTGAAAACACTGTGCACTCCATCAGTAGCAAGCGAGGAACACAATGAAGAGTACGAAGGCGAAAAGTCGAAGTGACGCGAAGGATCGCGTACGATTAGGCAGCATCTGGACCGTCGGAGCAGAAGCATCGGGCAGCTGCAGTGGCGAGGATTTTGGCGGGAACAAGTTCGTACCCGTATAGAGTCGCACAGTTGGATTTCGCTGCAATAAAGGAATGTACCCCTTAGAGTACGTGGCTAGACTAGATCGTTTCATATTCCCCTGTACTCTTATATAACAAATGTATTTGCATGTTACCTCAGTCATTTTGAATTCAATCTGACACGAGGTCAATTCTTCCGCTGCAATACAGAATCTATGCGAACCTTCATGAGGTGATCCAATTACGATATGAAATCATATGAGAATGCATTCCTGTATGCTGCAGGAGCCGACTCTGCCGAGTACGAAGTCGAGGAGTCAGAAGAATCGAAGCGACGTAGCAACCGTCTGACCAAGACCGATGCAGGCAGAAACATTTGAAGTGAAAAGAGCGGGAACAGGTTTGAAACGGGTTCCCGCGCCGCACGGTTTGAATTCGCTGCAATAAGGGAATGTACCCCTTAGAGTACATGGCTAGCCTAGGTCTTTTCGTATTCCCTTGTATTCTTATATAAACCCGATGTATGCATACTATTATCAACTCAGTCATTTACATTCACTCTGACCTGAGATTCAATCTTCCGCTGCAACACTACTCTGCGATCAACACTGAGCGATCCTTCGCTAAGTCCCACTTGGGATTGTAACATGGTATGAGAGCTACTCAGGGATTCTTCACAACTTCACTTCCGTGAAATTCGCCGAACCAAGATCTGGCGAGCGGCACACGCTCCAAGACCAAGATGGCCGGAGGATCCGGAGGCCAAGCGAATCTGACGCCGAAGGACAAACCAACCCGGCTGCGACAAATGAGGCGACAACAACGATCAGCACTGCCGCACTCGAGCAGTTATTCTCGCGACTATCAACTATGGAGAAAGATCTCCAAGAACTGCGCAAAGGCGATGCGGGAACCTCTTCCCAACCAGTCCAACCTGGACAACCGGCCGCGAAAAGCCGTGATACCGCCGCGCACACCTTCTCCCTCGACACAGACAAATCAACAACTACTGCCCCCTGTCCAAGTGACGAAGTTATCAACTCTGCGCAAGCACGCTTCCTCAGCGTTTCAAAAATCAAGACTACCGCCGCATTTGATGGCAAGGATTTCTACACATGGAGTTTCGAGCTTGAGCTCCTCCTACAAACGGCGCAGATATACCATTACTTCGACGAGTCCTACCCAAAACTGGTGGAAGACACCGACGACGCCAGGGCTCAGTACTACAGCGAGTCCCTCATGGCGTATAGTATGCTGCTACGCAATATGACGCCTGCGGAACAACTTAGCATTCGTTCCTACAAAGAGAGCGCCGCTCCAGCCTTCGAAGCCTGGAAGCACCTCGTTGAGGTATATCAACCGAAGGATTCGGTCACCGCCAGCAGGCTCCTGCAGCAACTCATAGAGACAAAGATGGGGCATGGGGAGAAAGCAAACTCTTATATTAACGCTGTCGGAACATCCGTGATCAGATCACGAAGCATGAGAGCGCAATCTCGGAAGAGATCTTCGTCAATATAGTCCTACACGGACTCAGGCCAGAGTGGAAGCCCTGCAAAGCGCTACTCCGACAACGAGGAATCCTCTAAGAAGCCGCGCTATGCGCCGCTCTCCTGACTGAACAGCAGGACATGGACTCGAGCAGAACAAGCTCCGCGCCGCGCCGAGAGCGCCTCGCCTTCTACGCTGATAACCGTAAAGAGCGACGACAACCAAGGCGCCACTACTGCAAAATATGCAAGGTCTTCGGACATTCAACGGATCAATGCAAATCCCGATCCAACTATCGCCACCCGAATTTCACTCACCATAACAACTGGGTCGGCCGACAAGACGCTCGTCATTCTCAGCCTCAGCATCAGATTTCTCGTCCCCCTGCACAGCATCAACAATAGCAGTCACATGGATCTCAAGCAGGAGCCCCCAGAAACGTGATAGCGAACATGGCGACACGGCGTCGTCGCACTGCTGAACCAGACGAAGAGGACGAACTTCAAGGAGGGCTCATTCAACCAGAGGAAGGATGGAATAATCCCCTCACAGAAGACCACTACTATCGGTATGACAAAGACGAGCAAGATTGGCATAAGCCAATAATACTGCGGGAAAGCCCGCCACATGACAACCAGCATTACGTACCTGTGGGATGGAAAGAGGACGAAGATCCATCCTTCCACAGACGCTACAAAGCGACACTGGTGACTCCGCGACTCGCGCTACTTCTGCGCAACAACAACACAGACAACTACAACACCTGGTACCTGGTCAGCTGTTGCGGACAGCACATGGTGGGATATGTTCGATACGTCTCGAACCTCAGCCGCGCCCCCGCCACCTACGTCACCGTCGCCAACAATGAGCAGCTACGCGCTAACGCGCAAGGCATCGTGGTGCTGCAAGCACGAGACAACAACACCCACATCTCGTTTAACGACGTGCTTTACGTCCCGAACCTTCGCTTTAACTTACTATCAGCAGGACAACTTCGAGACTGCGAAGTCATGCTCGCCACGGACCCGGACACACGCGATCGCATCCTCATCTTTGCTCCTCCGGACACTCCCTTCGAATCGCACAAATACCTCGGACGAGCTCGCTCAATTAACGGCATCTACGTCCTGGACTTCGACATACCGAGCTGCCAAGCATCATCAGACGAACTCGTGGATCTCGTCCCTCTTGACTTCCCCTTCATGAACGTGAAGTCATGGCAGCATCCAGACGGGAGGCCGTGGATCTGCCGCAGCCCTCATCCCCGTGAAATCAACCTGCACGAGCCCGACATCAACGGTCTCTGCACCACCTGCCACACACCCACGGCAAGCCGCACAGAGCAAGTGGAGAAAGATTATGCGGCAATCCAGGAAGTGGAAAGCGCCGAGGCAGAACCTACCGGCATGACCGAGATGGAACTCGCCGTGACTACTCACCGCATCTTCGGCGAGGGAAACGACCGACTCGGTATCACGCCACAAGAGCGCCCAACGCCGCGCTCAAACACACTTCAATTCGTCCTCAGAGCCAACACCGGGACCTTCGACGAAGAAGGTCGTCCACGTCCTTACCCCGCGACGTCTATCGCAAGGAGGTCGACACGGCATGGAAGGATCCTGACGCAAAAGAAGAATTGAGCGTCAAGGAAGAACGAGACAAGGCCAAGGCAGAGAAGAAACAGAAGCTGTACGTGGAACGCGTAGCGGCAGGATGGGACGAGGAGCCAGCACGACGTGGCGCGTGGGGAGACGACGACTACACTCCAGAAGAAGGCGCAACCTGGGGATCCGCCACTGGCGCTTCGGGCACCGTTGAAGGATGGGGATCCAGCGCCAGCGGCTTAGTTACCACGGAAGGATGGGGCAATACCGAACCGGACGAAGGCGAACTCACGCAAGAAGAATTAGAGGAAGCTGAACGGGAAATGAGAGCTGAGCGCGGAGATCAATCCCCACGGATCGTCGTTCCGCTCGGAAGACCCCCACGCACTCGCTCACCTCCAAGCTCACCTTATCGATGGAACGATCCCTGGACAGAGATTGAGGAGGGAAACGTGCCACCAACTCCTCCGCGTGATTCACTTGGTCCAATCTCCCGCCCATATCCGTTTGCCCGCTTCATCGAAGGCAGAAGGACTCTGCTCAACATCATCCCCGATCGCGAATTTCTCGCCCTCTACCTCACAACGGCGCCTGCAGAAGGGGAGATAGCAACAGAAGCAGAAGCAGAGGAGCCGGACAACGAAGCAGAACCAGGAGAAGAGGAAGAACCCCCACTCCAGATTCCGCAAGAAACGGAGGCGGAAGCAGCAGAGCATCACGCTCACTACAAGCGCACCTCCGGCATCCGCGCTGAAGATGACCTCTAGCATCAGCGACTCGGCCACCCCTCGCGCCAGACCCTTGCCAACTGTCTCCGCGCCAAGGTTTTTCTCCCGGAAGCACTGTTGCGCCCCGATGGCACGGAACCACACAACACCTCACACCCAATCACATGCACCGTCTGCCCCACAGCCGCTCTCTCTCACAGCGCCTACCCCTCTCTGGAACCAAGCACCAACCGCTACAAGAAGCTGGAGAA